AAATAGCAATTGATTAAAACGTTAGCTTAAGGGATGTGTGAGGTAGCCACTTGAACATTTAATATTCTGGCAAAATTACAGCTATAGTTTTTCGACTAATTATACGTTTTTTTGCAGCTATGCCATGCAGAAAACGCATATTGACGAGGGATTGTCTGTGTGTCAGTGTGTCTGTGTGTGCATCTGTACCGATTTTTCATCTCAAGACCTATAAAAGCTACAGAGATGAAACTTTGGGAGCTTAATCTGCATGCATGTATGAGACCCAATCCCCAAAATGGTCGCCCTTAGCCGCGTGGTATCCAAGTGCGAGCCCCCCAAAGTTTTTTGCGAGTAAGCCACTAACTCGGAAATCTGGGAAGCTAGAAAGATAAGATGTTGAGGGAATGTTCCCCGGTCCAAGTGAGTATTAATGAGCTCAAACCCAGCCCCCGGGTAAACGTGGTATCCACATACGGACTAGCCAAAATTTTTTACGGATAAGTCGCTAACTCGAAAATCTGAGGAGCTAGAAGATTGGAATTTTGAAAAGATGTTTTCTAACACTCCTGACAGCCAATCTGAAATTCTTTTAGCTAGAAGCATCTGCCAGAAAAACCAGTGCCGTTAGCGACAAAAATCTGCGGGGAGCTACGCAAAAAAAGCATCTTCGCACGGACAGCTCGTGCGTTGGCCAATTATTTTTAAGCTGACGCGACGCCAAATGCGATCTTTGATGTGATTGTACTCGTAACGCAAGCGTTTGCGATAAATGGATTTGAAATCTGCAGAACGCACATAAAGCTCCAGCCTATGTTTGTTGGCTTCTGAAATCGTTTCCTCCAACGAACTTGCATGTTTTTCCGGATGTGCGCACGTGATATTTTAGGCATATGTGAGCTGTTGTTTCAAAAGGGAGGATAGCACCTGTAATTTCAATTTCCTAGTTGCTGAGCTGAAAGTGGGTGACAAAGTTTGCTCGCGACCGAGCATGCACAGAAGCAGTTGCTTGACGTTATGCATTGCTTTTAATAACGGAATGAAGCTTTTTTTTTAATCCAATTTCATTTATTCAGGTCCAAGACGCACGCCTTGTTCCAGTGGTGCCTCAGTTTTCCTCTTTCGCCTCTTGTTTCCCGGGAATGGTACCATCAACGCTTCAAAGCTGGCAAGGACCGCAACCAGCGGATCAGAAATCCAAGCTTCCAAGCTTCCAGTGTCTGCTGGATTCGCTATCACGGCCTTCAACTTCACAGGCATTCTTTTTCCTCAGCACCTGATCTTTTATAGCAACGATGGGACTCTCAACTTGTACGGTTGAAATCTATGGCAGCGGAATCAGGGGAATTCCTCGATTGCTGAAAAAACTCGGAGACATGTAACTCAGGATTGAAGAACCCACCCTAGCTGCAACAAGTGCGTAAGAGCATCCTAGTAATATCACTAGCACGAGGCGCTGTATTTCCTAGTCGCGATTATTCAAGCAATCTGGAAGTTGTAGAAAAAACCTTTAATTTTATTATTCATATCCTCACCCGCTCATTTCTAGTCCCACAGCGCGCAAAATGATGCACCAGTGCCACAACTGGCCGTTCCTGTGCCAGTATCGATACAAATTCAAGAGCAAGAGCTACAGCCACTGAATTCAACAGAAATACCCGCCGCTCCGAGATTTCAGTTGCTGCCAAATGCGGTGGCGCAATCTTCAGCTTCACATGTACCATAACTTGACAGGTGTCAAATGGCCTGCCTGTGAAAAGTAGATACAATTTTGGTGAAATGACGCCTGAAAAAACTGAAATTTTTTTTCCTTTTACTGCAGCACGTTTATTCAGGAGAAACCACCGTCGCAGTCCGCATCGAAAGTACGGGGAGGATCAGCAAGACATTATTCGCCTTCGAAGAGCCGCGACGGCCCCGACATAAATCTAACTCACTCTTCAGCAGACGGCAAATATTTCTTGTTTCTTAGATTTTTAGGTCTTTCGCTTGTAGCAATTGCGAAATTTAAGATAGTTAAAAGCTCTGAACTACTTCGACTGACAAAAGGATAGCTCATCAATGATGAGTACCAAATCTTAAAATTTTTGTTTATGCGATACCTCAAAATTCAAATGAAGTGTGGTGCCTATGAAGG